ATATATATATATATATATTAATATTAGCGGTGGCGGTAGGAATATATAATCTTCGCATAATATCGCGGCACTTTTGCTGGCGTCGAAGACGCGATGTCCGGCGTGATCCTCGGGCGTCAATAGGTTAGCAGCGTAGATGACGACGGTGCGCGAGTGCGGATCAGTTTGTTGACGATGTTATTTTGACAATGGGAAGAAGACTACGGTATAGCGGCGGGACGTCGTCGGCCGTGCGGCACTTGCTGGACTTTGCACCGCGGCGTAAAACGACGCGGGGCTGTGTCAATTACAATAAAAATTTGTTATATATATATATATAATTGATGATAAGCGCGCGTCTACGGGTTGGAAAATATTGTTCTCTACGAGTGGTGAGCGGGGTGGGGCGAATGCGTTACAACAGTAAAGTCTCAAGGTCATACACGACGGGATACGCGACATAACACGTGCCGCGTGGAGTTACAAACTTACAAACGACAAACAACAAACAACAAACAAACATACACGTGAAACTAATATAAGCGTGTTAAAAAAAAGTATCAGCAATACCATTTCAGCAACAGTTTGAATTGAGCGGCGCGTCGTAAATTTTTTTATTTAAGTACCTACACACATATAAATATTTTTTTTAGTATAATTAAATAAATAAAATTCGATTACTAAATCATCGAGAATACTTTTTCTAATGAATTAATGCAAACAAACAAAAAGAACAGAAGTATATAACAAAATTTGTCAATGATGGTTGAAAACTTTGAAAGCTCATAACTTTTAAACTGGACTTTGCCGACAAGNTGGTTGAAAACTTTGAAAGCTCATAACTCTTAAACTGGACTTTGCCGACAAGTTTTTTTTATATATTCTTAGTCAGTATAAAAAACTGAATCGATTAAAAAAAAAAAATTTGAAAAAACTCGATGGGGTGGTAAAATGCATTTAAGCCCTTATTAAAAGTATATTAATTGATTTCAATATTTTATATTTTTGTTATTTGTATAATGAATATTTTAATTGTTTCAGGTAGAGTTAACGATGATTTTACTATATCGACTTTTAATAACATTCAGTTACTCTTGAAATATGAAAACTCTTTGAACGAATATATTGAAAAAATTGGAGTTAAATTATGTATGAAGCAATGGAACGATGAGGAATGTCTAAATAGATCTAAAGTGTGTTCTGTAGGATTACTAAAATACCTTAAAAAAAATCCAACTGTAAGTATTAAAAAGTCTAAAATTTAAGTTGCTTTATATAAATACATTTTCCAAGGAGTCGATAGAAATGAACATTTTAGTTTTACTTAAATGCGGAATCATTTTATTAGACCCCTTGATTTTTACATTACAATTTTTTTTTTGCTCATCACATATGTTTATAGCACTTTCATAAAAACTTAGATCAGTCTTACCTTTAGTTAAGACATATTTATTGAGATTTATCTATTTAATTTAAAAATTAGCTATACCCTTTTTAAAAAGAATTACAAAAACTATCTTCAACAAATATTTTTTTCACATTAACAGTTATTTATGATAGTTGTTTAAATCACAATCAGATTTGAATCAATATGATTTCAACTATGCTTTGCTCTATTTATGCTAAGTCCCAGTTGTATTGGGATATTTATATATTAAATTTCTTTTTTTTATTTTTAGTTTCTTCCATATACAGTAGAGAAAGAATATTTCAATTTTCTTGACATATCCTGTAGCAATGACGAATCAATTGGAAAGATTTCCTCTTTAGAAGATATCCAATATTTTGAGGGTTGTCAACATGTAATTTACTCGATAAATAAAGATAATTTATATTTTTGGCAATTATTTAAAACAAAATCTACTAAATGAACGTATATGTGCTAAATAGAAACAGAACTTATGTAATTGAAAAATAAATATATATATATACTTATATAATATAACATAATATAATTGGAATTTGAATTTGAATAGTTTAATTATAAAAATTCAACTAGTGTAATAATTTTAATTTAATTTATCACTTCAATCAACTTTGATTAAAATAGAATATTGTGAAAAAGATTAATTTGTGTAATACATTTTTGTATCTTAAATAAACATAAAGATTCATATACTATTTCAGTATCTATTATTTGTTATATTTCATAATTAGTTTAAAACATTAATTTTTCCCAAATTCATTTAAATTTTTAAACGAGGTATTTCAATAAAAAAATTGAAATTTACATATTATAATATTTAATAGTAAAGTTAACACTTGAAAAATATTACCTATAAAATTTGGGTGTTTATCAATAAAATTGATTTTTCAATTTGGTATAGTTTATTTCAGTTTATTATTCTCTATGTAATGATGTAGGTACAATTAAGGGATTTACCTACTTAAATAATTTCCATTGTAATAACTTAGCTAAGTTATTACAATTATAAAAATCCAATTTCACCAATATTAATTATTATTGGTATTTTTTTTTTAGCTTCGATGCGAAGCTGAGAAGGTATTAATTTTACTATAATGTGTTTTTTTTTTTTTGTGTCTGTGAACGCTCAATCTCAGCTATCGCTGGACCGATTTTGATGAACAATATGTCAAAAGATCACAAATCGTATCTAGTCAAAGACATAGCCCTCAAAAAAATATGTACTTTATAGATTTGCATCTAAGCATTTATTATGATAGTGATTATAATCACTGTCAGATATCATCTATACTAGACCTAACTATGTCACGTTCTAACTGAGTCGCGACTTAACTGTGCTTGGTTTTTTTTATAAATATTTATCTAAATAATGTAGTAATAGTCAAGTTTAAATTAATAGCCATTAAGAGAAATTTAAAAAAAAATCAAAACCTTAATTGTAAAATAACAAATTTAGAAAAATAAACAGTAATATAAAATTAGTTAAATTATAATTTTATATAATTAAAACAAATAGGATCACAAGATGTTTTAAATATTTAAATAACTGATAACCTAATAAATTGATTGCATTTTAAAATAGTCATATATCTTTGTACTGATAATCCATAAAATTCTTCAGTTTTTACTGTTTGACAGTAACCCACCCAGTTATTTATTTTTTTAACTTAAAATTATTTTTGAAATCTTTTTTTATGTTTAAAATGAAATTTTATTTCTTTAATTTTAAATATGTTAACGGGTTAAATTTATTAAATTTTTAAGATGACGATACTGTTGTGGACTGTATGTCTTTTTTCTGGTTGAACAGATTTTTGAGGTTTTATTATATTTAAATTTTAAGTAACACTATGAACGTTAATANTTTTGAGGTTTTATTATATTTAAATTTTAAGTAACACTATGAACGTTAATATATCAAATTTTTATTCCTTTAAATTACAACTATACGATAAGAAGGCACGCCGCCGACTGACTTAAGTAAAAGTGGTGGTCAACGACCGTCCAAGTACATGTTGATAACGATAGTTACATAGGACTTAACAGATACTTTGAAAAAATATAAAATTATATTAACTACCGTTCACTAAAAAAAACAACATAATATATTATTTTTTTTATTATATATAAAAAAATATTTATTAAAAGTTTATTTACAAGAAATTTTTAATATTTAATATTTTTATTTATTAAAACGCAAATATAAAGTAGGTATTTAAATACTTTTATTTATTATTAAATAGAAGTTTAAAACTACGTTAGTTTTAATTTTTTAATGAAAACATCAAAAAAGCATACACTATTAAGCTACCGCTATGGTATATGATAGCAATAAAAATGTAGATATTATAGTATCAGGAAAATATTAGTTTAAAAATGGTAAAAATTAAAAAAAAATTATTTAAAATTATGTTGAAATTTCAATACATAATTAAAAAAAAAATAGCTATTTGTAAATGACTTTCATTGTTAATAATCTTATTTTTTATTGTAAATAAACAAATAAAGCCAGGAATATTATTTATTACATTTATTTATCTATGTTATAATAATTATAGAATTCTGGATAGAATCCAAAACTTGTTCTCTTGTTCGGGTGTGTGTGTGTGCAAGCAATACAGGCCTTTTTATAGTATTTTTTATTACCGCAATTTATTTATTGAGCCATTTCCCCAACTTTTTGAAAAATGACCAAATCAAAATACTTTTTTTTTTATATCGAAATCTTTGATACTTTACTTTCATTTGATATAAACAGGAGGTAATTCAAAGTAGCATTTTTTTCACAAAAGTCATTTTTTTCAACTAACTTTCGAAAATGTTCCAGAAATTATGCGTTCATTAAAAATATATTAAATGAAAGTTTATGTTATGTACAATAAATTTAAAAAAAATTGTACCGACACTTGTCTNGAAAGTTTATGTTATGTACAATAAATTTAAAAAAAATTGTACCGACACTTGTCTTCTACGTGTAAATGGTTAGCCGTAGTTAAAAAACATACTATTGCTGTGTTCAAATTTTTTTTTTTTTAATTTTAAATTACCTCATAAGGGTTGATCACAGTAATGAGGCCTACAATAAATATAAAATTTACATGAATCTAAATTACATTAAATATAGATTGAAAATTATTTTAAATATATTTCTTCCTCCAAGTTATGAAAAACGACTTTGAATTTTTGAATTAACTTAAATTGTCCTTTTTAACTTATCATTCATGTAATATACACTAACCGCATCAGTTATAATTCTGAATTTCAGGGATGCAAAGTTTGAACCCCGTCCGTTAAAATGACTTTTTATATATTTTTTTCTAAATTCTTTTTAAGATGGAAAAAAATTAAAAGTTTGTTTTTGTATCTTATTTAGATTGAATAACTTCAATGAATATCAAGGACCCCATCACTGCAGTTTCCCCATGTGAGGAGAAATTTCTTATTCACATTAAAATTAATTTACTATGTGGTTTTTTTGTGTCTGTCATTAATTTTTCTCAGCTCTAACTAGACAAATTTTTTTAACGATACGTTATATTAACACAAAAAGATCGCGGCACCACGTTCGCTTTAGGTGTTTTGTAGGGTCACCAGGGATAAAGTCAATGGAATGATCAGAGACTAGAAGGCTTTGATGGTTTAATGTTTTGGAGTGTAAACGCTGATAGAATGTTTCGGCAGTTTTTTGGACTGTTGGGGTAGAGAGATAATTTCAGAAAATGAAGATTCTGATCGTACAGTAAATTGTCTATTTTCTAAGTAACATTTAAATAAGAGGTAAAAATATAGGACAGAAAAGATTTTAGTTTGAAAAGAGACCATTGTGCCACACACAACAGGGAATTTTTTTTTTTATTACAAAAAACTTAAATAAAAAAAGAACACATTAAAATTTGTCGAGGACGTAATAAAAACGAATCAAAATTATTAAGATTTGAAATTAGTTAAAAAATTTTTAAATGTGAAAAAAGTGGGAAACTTTTAATAATTTCATACTATCATAAAGAATTAAATTAATTTATTTTAATATACTTTGGTTAAAAAAATGTATATTTTGTGTGAATATTTTTATGCTATTCAATAACCTGATATTTATTAGAAAAAATTAAAAATACTTATTCAAAAATAATAAAACGTTGTTTTAAATTTAACCTCGTAAACATTTTAGTTGAAATTATAACAAGTAATTTAAAAAAACGGAAATTTTCGCTAAATATTTTTGTTAACGCTTTTTAAAAAATAAAATTTTAAAGTTTTTCAGGCACAAATTTAGAAACAAAAATCTAAATAAATAGTGTATTGGAAGAAAAAAAATTTTTTTTTAAGTCAGATACTATACCTATACTTTCAAAAATTTATAATAAAATGCTATGAACTGGTTACTGTATTTATAGTAATTTATTTATCCTTTATACTGTAGTTTACACTGTAAGAAACGATCCAACAATAATTGTTTGAATTATTCCTACCCTAATTATTCCTTTTTTTAATATACATATTAATTTTATACGAGCAGTTTAATTTTCATCTAATGCACCTCGGTAGTCTACTGAAGAGAGAGATTACTTGCAACTGGCTCATATAAAGAGTTACATAGGTATTGGGGATGCATTGTGTGTGTTCAGCTGATTCAGTACTGACCACTGAACTGGTGCATAATTAATTTTATAATTGTGGACATACCAAACACCTACTGCACATATGATCCTATTATTGATATAAAATTAAGTTAATACGAGGCAAAAAAACTCGTCTACAAATTAAAGGGAACAAAGAAGAAAAAAAATGAATATTAATAAAATAGATTTACATCTACACTTCTATCATTAGACAATACAATGAACGTCTTCGGGCACCCACTGGATATTAGTACGGCAGGTATATGCCCCAAGTAAGCGACTGTTTTAAGCAAATGGATTTAGCTTGCAAGACGTTGGGACACCCCGGAACAAAATGCACTACGATGTCATATTGTACAAATAGTATACAGAGTGATTTTTTTATCATAACCCACTGAATTAGTTACAGAAAAATATAATTTAAACATTTTTTTTTGTTATCCTTAGTTACACATTGTACTCAAATTATTAACTATTTAATATTTTTGAAGTTCATCCCTTATGCCTTTAACTAAGGATGTTAACTTTGTTTTTTTAAAGGGGAACACATATTTTGAGTATAATAAAATGTTTGGATTTTTAATTAAATAGTAAATGGTATTAGAATTTTTAATAAAACTTTATTCGTTTATTAGATATAAAAATTGAAAATTTAAAATTTTTGAGTTTACATACATGTATAATACACAAGGGTTTATAAATACAGTTAGCTAATTTGTTTTTTATGGCATCTCTGTCACTGTCACGGAATGTTTATTATCAATCATGACTATGAATAGATATACTTTTTATATTTTCAGTCATTGTATTTATGAACTCACAACAATGTGCCTTACTACCATTGATAATAACAATGCTGTGTACCTGTGAATATTTATATCATAAAAAACCAATTAGTTACCTGTAATGATAATACCGTACTATATACGTAT